TCGAAGCTATTATTACGCTATCTCGCTATTATTACTGAAATATGTTTCAGATGAAAGTGAAACTTTTCCTCTCGTGAAGGAATTAGTAACACCAGAATATGCCCCCTTCGACACCGTTTGAATTTCGTCTGAAACATTTTCCGCTACAGGCAATAGTAACGAGAAAATCAGCTGAGACATCCTGTATATTGGTTGAGAATTTCTGCAGAAGCATCTGCTGCAAAACTGATTTCGCCAAATTGTTAGGAAAAAAAATTCTGCGAATTTTTACTCGGTAACGACGCAGAAAATATATAACAGGAAATAGTTCGATAATGGAGCAACGAGGTAGTGGCCACGCGGCTGGCAATCGTGCGACTGTAATAAACAAAAGGGAATAGCTTTCAGATAGCAACAAAGTAACAAGATGTGTGGGCTTGTAACGAGAATTGAAAGCGATCGGGATTGCCGTGCTCCGATTGTATAACTAGTTGATTGAACTTACTAAAGTTATTGTAACCAGCTCTACATTTAATACCTGTCAACATATATTCGCATATTTTCCCAACGATGCTTTTCCCCGCCTACCGCTTGCAAATTTCGCACGCACACAGCCGAGAACCGGGACGCGGTGAATAATCAAATCGTGCGTGTAGCACTTTCAAATCCGATAATACTGCAAATTAAAATAGAGGCCGTAAGTTTTGATCTTTCGCGACTGTTAATGAGTAAATTGTACTATTGGTGTTGAAGTGTTGTGAAGAGAGGTGTAATTTATTGTGTTTCTTTTAACTTTTTAGTGTTTCGTTGTTTCAAATTTTTTTTTGGTTCGGTTTGGAATTTTGGAATTTTTAACCCTTTGATTTTGGGTGAGACAAGAGATGACTTTTAACAGTAAAGATATCCGAATAGATTATGTGCCACATTTTTTATACGTGTTTGCTTCAAGTTTAGAATTTTGTTATCAGAAAACTGCTAAAATTGGACGATAAAGTAGACAGCAATTGTGGTTATTGATATAAGAATTAATCCTGAAAATCCCAGACTATTGAAAGGTTCAATTTCAAATTTTGACGAAGTTCCATTTAATCTCAATTAAAAAAGGATAAAGACGATATCTGACTCGTTTGTATACGATCATGAAATACAATTGAAACCTTGGACGGAAAAAGAGCACATACGCCAAAATTCCCTTTCAAAAAAATCGATTTCAAAGTTTTCATTATCCTATGACTCGATAAAAAGTAATGCAATTAAATCCAGAAGGGAAGTAACATGCTCTGCGTCGACTTAAACGATCAACCTATGTGCCCATTTTCCATAAATAACCTCAATTACTTTCTGAAATAAAAACAGATTTTCGACAGCCAACGTAAGATATTTTCCAAAAAGAATCTAAACTTTGAAACATTTAGGACGTTTTCCAATCATCCCTGAGGCATCCTAACAGAGGTTCCCCGCAGAAACCAGGAAGAATTATTATCAATTCGCATAATGAACAGAAATTGATCATTGTTCCAGTTAATAGAAAATATCACGCGGGTTGGTTAACGTGCGCGCGGACACGCTCTTTATTTACGACCGGGCATCGGTTGATAATCGTTTAAACGGCGATTAAACGAAAGCTCGGCTCGCGCGCGAATAAATTGGACGAGGACGAGTACGGCGCGGCGTGCGGACGCATTCATTCGCGGCCAAATTACATGCTCGTTCGTCGAATAATCGATGTTTCTAGTTGTCTGTGACACCGTTAAAACGACGCGTTTTGCTGATGCTCTGACGGAGAAATAATTGGCAAGAGAGGAGAGAACGGGCCCCGTACAGTAATACACCCGCCCGTATGAATTTACGAACAAACCTAACGAGCGCCTACCGCCCACGCCACTCGTGACACAACGGTGTATGGAGGGTCGACTTGGGCGCAGGCGCAAATGTGTTTTCCCAGCCAATTAAAATTATATCGCGGTAACAAGTCACATGTAATTGTCCCAGGGAAATGAGATCGCGGCACGGCCTCTCCCCCCCCAGGTGACGACGGCGGTAATGAAAGAAATTTATTGAGATGAACGAGCGCGGACATTCACCGGAACGACGTGACGCGACAATTGCGCGTATCGCGGCCACAGCGTGCTTACAACGTTTGTCGTTCGAAAAATTCCGCCTCGCGAATCTCTTGCTCGCTTGGGGCACGATCAAGCCGCGAGGAAATTGTGTCTTGATTCTTCTTCGTTTTCCTTCTTCTCCTTCGTCGCCGTCTTCGTTCTTTTCTCTCCCTTTTTTCACCCCGTGGCGCGATGTAATCGACGTCGGACGAAGGGAAATTTATGGACGACGAATAGCCAAGTCTCGCATTAGCGGTATCAGCTTATTTAACCGTGGTGGATTTGTAACTGCGGCCCCCGTGTATATGTGTACACGTGAAGCACGCGAGCGTGTTGTTATCGCGTTCGAGGGGAAGTTTAACGTTTTAAATAAATCGGACAGCGGAGGCAGTCGTGCTTTCCTACTTTCGTTTTTTCTAAACGAAATTTCATATTCATACATTTTCGAGGGTTTTAAACGATCGCTTCGTGTTCTGGATACAGGTGAACAAATGAAAGTTTGTTAAATGTTTTTTTCTTTCTATGGTGATATCGTTGGTTGTGCGTATTACGAGGGGATTAGTTGGTTTCAAAGTGTAAACTGGTTTGTTGTTACGGTGAATAATTGAACGATTTTCTGGAGTCTGTTAAATGGGGATACTAATTTTCTCCTCGAATGCTAATTTTATTTGACTGTTTGGATAGCGTTAAATACTGTTAAATAATGCGGAAATTGCGCGGGAGTAATATGGGAAGTGAAGGGAAATGGTGGGAAAAGCTTAAGGAATTTTATTACGTAGACTGGGTAAAGATAAACGAGCAATTATACAAACGGAAGTGTTATTAGTCGCATTTACAACGTAGAATCTGGATGTAGAAACGGAGATGTTGTAATTATTTGTGCTCGATATAGAAATGAGAAAGATGACATGTTTTCTCAGTAATGATGATATCGATTTACATAACAATAAGAGAAATCCATTTCGATAACAGCCCATATTAATTTACGGTGAGCAACAATGCATGTATATTACCGATTATCGAGTTTACTTTACAAATGTATTATTTTATGGAATTTTAAAAGGAGTGCTCATGGTTGACAAATTTTTCAGAATTTTTTAGAAGGAGAAACGATTTGTTACATGAATAATTAAATATCTAATTCTATTATCTACTGCAATCTCTACTGAATGAATTATTACATTAGGAAATTGTTGGAAATTATCCACGTTGGTACTTACATCTCGCATACTTCATTAACATTGATCGCGTAATTAATCCCATAATAAATTTGCAACAGAATTAACCGTAGGAAGTCCAAGGAAGGGTAAAAAATGTCTACAAAGTTTCAAACTTTGGACACAAGATTTCAAATGCTTTTTTTATGAAAAGAATTTCTAACTTCGTAGACATTTTTTGACCTGCTCTTGGGCTTCCTAGGGTTAATTCTGTGCTAATTTATGATGTACACGTCTAACGAAATATGCAAGATACCAACGTGGACAATTTTCAAAAACACAGATACTCTTTTCCCATTATTAAATACAGCGAAATAACTTCTCTTCTTTTTCAAACTCCATAACTCTTCGCACAGTATTGAAATTACATATACACTATGAAATTTTCAGCATGTATGTAATTGACATAAATCTGCAAAACATATGTTTTAAATTTCCATTACAATCTCAGGCAAAAAGGTTGTGAACAGTAACCCTTACAATTTTCCTCGCGATTTCCACAAATTGCAATCTTTTGTACACGTGATCTAGTATACTAATCCTAACTTCCCAAAAAATCCCAAATCCTCTGGTCCAATTACAAAAAAAGTTACAATATTCTGAATAGTGTCCAAATCATTTTCTGGCCTGTATATCCGTCGTTTAACAATCCACAATACACTCCCAGCAACCAGCCGCCACACACTATCAAACCCAACCAAAAATAGCGTGCAAAATTCCAAAATCGCCAAAATCGCGGTGAAAATCCGAAAATCGGGAAAACCGCGTGAAAAAAATTCCCAAATCGACAAACTCTCACGCGCCACTATGTAGAACAAGGCACGTGCTGACACCAGCTCATTTATAAACTAACGCGTGTCGAAGTGAGCGTCGCGACGCCACGCCGCAAATAATATCGAGCCCCGTGTTCAGAATCGATATATAAAACGATCGAACAATTCAGGGCAAACATTTGCCTACAATTTGCTACGCTCACGGTCGTGGTTGGTGCCCGTTTACCGTAAAACACCGTCGCTGTTTTGAGTTTCAATCGTAACCGCCTGCAGCCAGACGAAACATTGTTCACGGATTAATACGATTTCCTCTGTCCTGGCCGTCAACGTTGACCGACAACGTGCTGTCGCTTTCACCCTCGCGTTCCACGCGCGCACGAAGCGATGCTATAATTTTTCAGTTTCAATCGCGACTACCCGAGGCTTGTTTTCATATTGATCGTTCTAGTGTACGCGGAACCTTCGAACGTGTCCTACAATGTCATCGTTACACTTTGACGCTTATGTTTGTCGTTACGGTATATATCGCTATGGCAACTTCGTGTCACCATTTACACACACACACACGTTCTACGTGTCTCTGTTTGCTCCTCCATCGGGGGGTCACCTCGATCCCGTCGTTCTCGCTTAGAAAGGTACGATTTCCTCCGGTTGTCAGAGTCCAACCGAGCTGGCTAATCTACTAGCCCTTGCGTCGCGACGCCTCTTTAATCGATCGTAACGATCAATTGAAAAATCATTGGCACGCGCATGCGCGAGCCCGTGTGCCGGATCACAGGTGGAAATCGGCTCGGGTGGATGTAGAAAGCGACCGGGAACCAAGGGGAAGGAAGTGTCTCCACTCGAGGATGGTTTAAAACGTGTGTGTGTGTGGGGTGTGTCACAGCTGTGTGGTAGTGTGAAAAAAGGTTTGTCACGTTCCGCGAAATGCTAATTAATTAATTAATTCTGCGTTCGACAGCTTCGTTGAATTACAGTGGAAGGAAGAGGTTTCCTCGAGAGCTCGTTACATTTACCTTCGCCCACGGTACTTCAGAGAGAGATTTTCCTTTCCTCTTCTCACTCTCGCTCTCTTCGTGTCTACTTTTATCTCCTTTTTTTCTTGTGTTTCTTTTTTTTCCTTCTTCTTGTATTTTTTTCTCTTTCGTTTTCTGTGCACAACCGTCTGGCGTCGGTTCGGCGAAGTTTTCTAATTTGTACTTCTCACGACTCTTCGGTCGCACCGTGCAATTAGGAAATTCGTATCGTAATTGATGAAAGTTGGTAATGATGCATCATTAGCGCGACGAAACGCGAAATATGAAAATGGAAGAGTCCAGGTGTAAGTTGGACTCCATTTTCGGGGAGGATCGGAGATTGCAGAGATTTCGCGTTGCTTTTTGGTGTATGTTTCTTTTGCACGTTTCGCAGACACCGTGGAAAACTGTTTTCTTGCGACGTCGCGGTGAGAAGCTTGATACTGCTGTTTGATTGTGGAACATGCGAGGTTGATATTTGCTTGGAGAATTCTTCATTTTGTGTTAATCTGTCGCTCTGTTGTTTTGTGAATTTTTGCTTGGTTATTTTTGGGTTTGAGAAGGTTTCTTGTTGTATGAAACATGTTATTATTTATAATAAATTTGATGTTACTCTTAATTTCATTTTTATGTGCTTTTTAGTTTTGATATTTGATTATTTTTAGGTTTGAAAAGGTTTCTTATTGTATGAAGCACGTTATTGTTTACAGTCACTTTTAATTTTATTTTTACGCGCTTTTTATTTTGAGTGCTTGATTATTCTTATGCGCTTTTTATTGTCGAAAAAAGGAAACGAAATTCTATCACGCTCTTTAAAAGCAGTAATTATTAATAAGAAAAAACAACTTGTGCAAGTTAATTATGCCACCCAGTACGCAATGCTTTTCGATCCATTCTACGGTTTCACGCAAAATTAATTGATCCAATTTTCTTTCGTTAATAATTGCTATCATTATAAACGATGCACTGTGTTGGTAATCATTGTAAATTAAATTAATTATAACTCCAAACGAAGCATGTAATATTTTAGAAATTTAATGACATTTGTAAAAGTCGTATTGATTATTCGAATAACAGAGCCGATTTATATTAAATGCTCAATATTAATTAATTACAGAAGAGATATTTATCAACGGAAACATTGAAATTCGTGTGAAACGTAAAATTGTACGATTTTTCAAAAATATCCATTTCAATTCTATTCTTCTTGGTACCTTTCTATCTTTCACATCTCAAATTTTCAAACAATTCATATTTACACACAAAATAACACTACCGACACTCTAATTAAAAGTGTTTTAATTCAAATAAATTCAATATTTAAAGTAGAGAAATCATTCGCTTAATCCATTTTAATTCTATTCTTCTTGGTACCTTTTCATTTCTCACATCACAAATTTTCAAACAATTCATATTTACACACAAAATAACACTCGTATTTTAATTTCGCAACACTCGTGATTAAATTCGTCAGGTATAATTTTTAACGAAATTCGTTAAGTAAAATCGAGCAGTCATTCGCGTAATCGACAAATTCGCAAGAAGAATCCCCAACAAAATAATATCCTATCTTCGGTGCTAAGTGACGCGCCATTTGTTCGACCACAGATCGTTCGTTCCTACAATCGGAGAACACAGTCCGACCATTCACGGAAGAAGTTCCATAAAAATCAGCGCCGATCTACTCGATGATCTTCCAATCCGTAGGATCCGAACACAGCAGTCAGGTAAATTTGTATGCGAGCCAGGGTACACGTGGATGCAAAGCCCAGAGATTCGAAAGTTCTTCTTTGCAGCAGGGCCACTGTATAAAAATCTCGTTTGCTCGGTGACGTTACAGAAGCAAAAGGAGAACGCGGAGAGGAGGCAGGATGCCGATTGATTTTTACTACTTTGCGGCTAGTCCGCCGTGTCGTATGGTTATACTACTGGCGAAAGCGATCGGGGTCCATTTGAACTTAAAAACAGTCAACGTTCTGAAGGGGGATCAGATGAAGCCTGACTTTTTGAAGGTTTGTTCTGTGTGACACACTTTGTAACCACGATTTTTCTTCGTTCTTGAGAAGAAAAATTATGATTTGTTGTAATTTTGCTTTTCGATCGAGGAAGCAAGGATCAATTGTTAATTGGGAATTTAAAGAAACAAAAATTGTGTAGATATTATATTTGTGTTCAGGACAAGGATTTATATAAAATAGAGAAATAGAGGAATTGAACGGTAATAATGGAATAAAGAAATAAAGAAATAAAATAAGATTTGCAAAATGTGTATAAATGGATTAGCAATTTTTAAGTCACGTGGTGTTATAAAGGATTAACGTAATGTTACAGTTTAATTAGGTATTCAGAGTAACAAAGGCTGTATGGATATCAAATTTATGTTCAGAACAGCTATTTATATGAAATAGAGAAATTTTCTAAATAAAAACAATTTTTTTTTCATTTGAGGAAATTATATTTTGGAGAGAATTTTGACCGAAACAGTTGTAAATGTTAGAAATAATAGTTAAAACTAGATCGTCGTATGATTAATATGAAAAAGTCCTTCAATTACTTATCGACTTCTTTTCATACTCTTTCGTAATGTTAATTTTATTATTAATTTGTAAATATTATACAGCTACGATGTTTTAATACAACTCTGTATAAAAGTTCTTATTTGAGGTAATCAGGTAAGTGACGACCGTGTTAAAGAGCTTTTAGAAAAAACGCAATTACTTACACGGTGACCTGATATAATTCAGAAAAATGACGAGACGAGCTGAATTTTTTCTTAAAGTGAAAATTATCCCTTGGACAATTTTACGTAAAAAGCGAGAAATAAAAGCGATTTTTATAAATTTTCTCTTAAGAAACAATCGAACAAATAATTTCTCAAACTCTTCAGATATTTTACCGAACGTCTAGAAAAGTAGAAAATATGTTTTTCAAGTAAAATAATGCAATCGTTATAAACTGTAAATATATTTCGTCGCAGCCTCGGTGCGAAAATCCAGACAATTTTGCATTCTTCATAAAATTACGCTACAGACGAACCTAATTACGCAAAAAAAAACGCTGCAAAATTGAGAAATTCAAAGGTGTCTGTCCACCATTTCTGCCACGCTGACAGCTAAAATGCACTCGTAGATAGGAAAACCGCAATGGATAATAATTACCGAATAATAGCAAGTCCGATTAATTTAATTAACGAGTTGCCTAACGTTACCGTGGCGAATGCAACATTCCAGTCGCGTGATGAAACTTTAACAAGCTTTTGATGAGGCAAAGGTCCGCATTTTAATACGTAGCTTTGTTGTTTGGCACATAATTGTATCTTTCAGCTGAATCCGCAGCATGTGATACCGACGATGGACGACGGTGGATTCATTCTGTGCGAAAGGTATGCGATGATTACCTTTCGAGCTCTGTAATTCTCCTCTGCCCTTTCTCTATTAATGCAGTCCATGTATTTACAGCCGTCCAATTATGGGATACTTAGTGAGCAAGTACGCGAAAAACGACGCCTTATACCCGAAAGATCCGAAAATGAGAGGACTGGTGGATCAGATGCTGTATTTCGACATAGGCACGCTTAACGAAAATATGACTAAATGCTACGTACGTAGAAATATCGATATTTCACTTCGCTGTTTACGATTTAACCCTTTCGCTGCTGTTGGCGCCTTTTTGTTAATTTCAAACTTCGCGCGCTTTCTTGTTATTTTAATAAAGCGAATTTTTAAAGGATAAGGATGAAACGAAGGATTTTCGTTGCTATCGAAGTCTCTTGACGCTTTGAAAATTTGTAAACACTGTGCCTTTGGAGCTTTTCGACGTACTTGGATTTTAATTTCATTCTTCGTTTCAAATTTCGCGCGCTTCCTTCTTAATTTAATAAAGCAAATTTTTAAAGGATAAGGAGGAAACGAAGGATTTTCGTTGCTATCGAAGCCTCTTGACGCTTTGAAAATTTGTAAACACTGTGCCTTTGGAGCTTTTCGACGTACTCGGATTTTAATTTCATTCTTCGTTTTGAACTTCGCGCGCTTTCTCTTTAATTCAATAAAATCAATTTCGAATCGATACGAGGCGAAGTGGAAAAATCGCGAATCGATAGGCGAAAGTGGAAGATTTTGCAATTCTGATTTAATATCTGTCATCTGCAACGCGCTTTTCGTACTAAAATCAGCGAAAGGGTTCAGAGTTAGACTACCCAAGAAATATCGAAAATTTTATAATCTGAATGCATGCCAATTATTAAAGAAATACATAAAATTTTTAAAAAATACTTTATAGAAACAGTGAACATACTTGTGAAGAAAGAATAGAATTTTATGATAAAAATATTAATTGCAGAAAAAGTTTTCCATATATTCTTAAAATGTAATTTGAACGGTGATCGAAGATTTCTAAGAAAAGTACTCGTGAATTTACGAATTGGTCTAATGGAACTATCCAAGCCCACAATTATCCGATCTCAGTTAATTACTTAATAATTACCAAAATCTTAGTTTCCAGTGGTGTTTTTTGGAGCACATTCCATAAACGAAGCAGACTTGCAAGCTGTGGAAAGATCGTTCGAAATACTGAACAGCTTCATCGATGGCCGCGAATTCGTCGCTGGTGATACCTTAACTATAGCTGACATTGCCATTAGTACGACCATTACCGTTATACTGGTAAGCATTTGGAAATTGAAAATCGAACAACCAGTGAAACAATAGTTATATTTTTATAATAAGTCTAAAAATAATTCTTGTTTGTGCCAATAGTAAATGCGTAGCAATTCCACCTTTCGCCTTTTCTATTCAAAGTGAAAAGTGACACAGTGACATTTTTACGAATTAAAATTCTGGCTGTGTGACAATTCGCGAAGCGTTTCATTTAGCAAGTAAATTAAAACTCGTTTGTCGAGAGAAAATTTATTGCACCAATAAGGATTAATCGATAAGATAAATTCGAGGCATCAAATACAGTCGATCTAATTTTTTTCTTCAGCTACAGTGATACTAGAAATTTTTGTTTACGCAATTGAAATGGTTTCAAAGAGAAAAATTGTATATGACACATGAATTTTGATTATTTTTCTATTTAAGATTAACGAATATAAACGACAGAAGATAATAATTCACACGGTCAGTGCTATACAATCCCAGGTCTTCTGTGTATTACAGTGAACGCAGGATAGGGTAACGTGTAATATTTACAAAAATGAGAAATGTTCAGATTCTATAGGGTTTATTCATTAAAAAATTCTCTCGACACGTGAATAGAGCGTAGAAACACATAGTACACTTGACAGTGAGAAACGTTTATGGCCGTACAATGTATCAAACCTGATCCTTGATATATAAAAATTGAAGAAACGTACAGAGAGATGTTCACGTAGCCAAAATTACTTTGAAACCCCATAAATATCGATTTTATCGAATATTGCTATGCAGAAAAAGAACGACGTACCTTCGTACAACGGTGATAAACTTTACGTGTACAATAAAAATTGCTGTTAATGTCCGACGAAATTTCTGTGTAAATCAAGGGTGAGATATCTCCTCGAATAGATCATGGTTTACCTTGAGTGTACAAAAGGTAGAAGCGTATTTTTACGATTTTTATCAAAGGCTACTTCGTGGTTTCACAGAAACGAACCTTTGAAATTTGAACGATTCGTTGCAGGATAAAGAGCATTGAAAACAAAAAAATAAGAGAGAGTATAATTCGGTGAATGAAACGAGGTTCGATCCTTGAACGACGCATCGATCTTTGTTAATGCCCGTGGTTGCGGCGATGAACTTTCGAGCTTTGTGGATGTTTGCACGATGTTGTGCCGTCTAGATACTGGTTCGAAGGACCACCCAAATGATTGGGACTTGTAAAAACTGATCTATGGTATCGCGTGATGTGAGCTGGTTGCTCCTTGGTTCTCCTTGTTCGTGGTGGTTGAACGACTACTCGACGACTCAACTCCCCGACGTCGCGTCTCGGACGTCCGTGAGAGGGAATTTGTTAGGACACGCTGATTGGTTAATGGTGAACAATTGCATTTGCCAATCAGCGTGTCTAATATCGTCTTCCAGTGCGCTCTTAGCGCGCTGTCACTGTGCCGTTCGGAAATTCGTGGTTTATAGCATGTTCTTAGGCTATTGAGCGCGAGGGATAGAAATTACTAAAAATCTAGCAAAGCAATTCTAGTGACCCTCGCAGGATGTAATTAGACCCGTGCAAGCAATAAACGAAAATCCTCAACTCAAAAATAACCGTTCCCGGTCGATCGTGCCATAAACCGTTTCTACAGAAAACCTAACAATCTTCATCTCGAGGTTCGTTGAGCTTACAGCAGGAGAAAGTGGTAGTTATTCGAAGCTGTGTGGATTATTCTGAGATTATATCAATTTATTAGGAAACGTTTACCTCGTCGAGATTTGTAGCTTATTGCGAGCTATAAAGGAATCGGTAATCCTTATCGACAGTTATAATTAACTGCACGGTAGGCTGTGTGGGATTATTAGATATTTTGGTGGCCTTAAGTTTCTGTGAAAATGTTCTCGAGTGTTTTTGAAATAATAAAATATTTTCTCGATGAAATTGCTGTTTATCTATGCAGATGTGACAAGTGACATGCTGGAAATTAGAATTTACGTTTTTAAAATTAAAATAGGTCTATTTTCTGTGACAGTGCAATTTAACTTAGGTTTTCGAAATTAACATAAATTCGTTTCCTGTGACTGTAATTGGAGATTTTTGGAATCTTAGTTAACTTAGGTTTTTAAAATTAAAATTAATTAATTTC